TGGTGCTCTTAGAGCCAGGCAGTCACCCATCTAAGTACTAATGTTGCTTAACTGTGCTGTACTGTACTGTACTGTAACAATTAAAGCTCACTAACAATCATTAGAAAGGCAATTGTGGTAGCAGCTTTTACTAAATTTGAACCAGATTTCACAAATTGGCAGAGGATATTCTATTCTGTCTAATTGAATGCGCATCATAGTAACTATTTCCTCTGTATTGTTCAATGTGAAACATAATTTTTATGTTGTATTGTATTATTATTTATTACCACCCACTAGGATGCTGAAACAAAACTTCTGTATAGTACCATTACTGTACTTGTCTGAATACAGTACTGGTACAGTATATACAGCTGCTCCCCGACTTACGACGGGGTTAGGGACCGACATCCAGGTCGTAAGTCGAAATGGCCGTAAGTCGGAAATGCTTAAATAATACATAGAAAATCGAAAATGGGTGTCTCTTTTTTATCTCAGCATCACAAAACACTCACTTTTAAGCTTGCCAGCCATTTTAAAGTGAATTACAGATAAAATTTTGTCTGTGTACTGACTTTGGGACTCGAAAATACATAATTTGACCAAATTTTGGTACGACTGAGGCAGGTCGTAAGTGCGGGTGGACGTAAGTCGAGTAGGTCGTAAGTCGGGAGGAGCTGTAGTTTAGTTCTTTATTTCTTAATGCCCAATTTCAAGTTTTATTTTTGTAAATTTAATACATATTGCATAACTACACTGTGTGATGGCTGATTTCTTATTTACAATGTTGCTAATTCGTGTATTAAGGTTGCTGACCCCTGGTTTAAACCATCTGAGCTAATGATGCTTGACAGAGTTTTGGGTGGCAATGGGCCGCTACTTTTTTTATCAACAAACTGGTTATCCCAGTGCTTCTGTCATTCTCTTCTACCTGTCTCTGTGAAGTGGGTATTTTCACGCTGTTGAGCATCAAATAGAAACAGCACTATCGACACTTTGTGGAAGATGGCCTCCATTGTGCCCTGACTGTGACTAAACCACTGATGCCACAATTGGTGACAAAAAACAATGTCATCCAACCCACTGAGTTTTAATTAACTTTTTGAATGTTCTTTTTGCATGTGCGTAAATTATACACACATGCACAGCGTCCTTAGTTTTGATTACCCGAGTTGTTGTGGAGTTGAGTTTATTTATGTGAGATTATAATACACAGCATTTACTGCAGACACAACAGAGGTTCACTTACACTATCCATGACTTGGAATCTTTTATTGTGTGGCAGTTCTATTTTATGTAGCTACTGGTACTGTATATACCACTAATAATAATAAAGTATCATATCCAACTGCTCATTCCAGTGACATTTAGTTTGTTTCATCGAAGAAAGATTTAGACTTGGGCAACGGAAGTTATGATATTTTGTATGGGTCACAGAATGGAAGAGGTTGGGAACCACTGATCTAACTGTTTATGTCTGTCTTTCTGTGCCTATCAGTATATCTATCTATTTTCTACCAATATCTATCCATAAATTCCTGTCTCAGTCAGTTTTATCTATTTATCAATACAAGTATTTGTCAGTCTGTCAATCTATGTACTGTACATCTATCCATATGGCTTACCAATATCTGTCAGTATCTATTTATTATTTAGAGAATGTATATACAGGTGATTTAAAACTTGCAGGCACAGAGTAATTGACTTTTTAAATAATCTAAATATCTTTAATTTTTTCAAAGGTCATTAATTAACACTAATTACCTTAATTTTTAAACTGTGAACCCAGATCCTTAATCAGCATGTAAAGTTGTACCTTTGTGTTGTATTATATTTTTTTATTAATAAACCACATCATTTATATAGAGTTTATTAAGTGTTAAAAATATATATTTTTCTGAGACATGAATTTGCAAGGTCAGCCTGTAGCACTGTGCATTGTAGGATTTATTGGGGGTCCCAAGAGCGAGTTTGAACTAATGGGAAAACCTGTTAATCCGGCACATCTCAATCCCCGTAGGTGCCGTGTAACTGTGATTCTACCTGTCTGAGCTACTGTATTATTGTACCACTAATTTAGCTGGGAATATTAAGGCAAAAATGACAAGCATGCAAGATTCACAGTCCCAAGAAAGTTCACGTAATCCAAATCTGCATAAAACAAACAACTTCTGTACTGAATGACTATTAATTTATGGACATATTTTTCTCATAAACTGTTGTGTATATTAAATGTTTTTGTTTCTTTGTTACAGATGAGTTAACAACTAAACCTTGTGAAATTAACAACTGGAGCATGGAAACACTGCCGTTACAGGTATGTCTTTATGTCTGTCTAACTGTCTATCTGTATCTATCTGTATCTATATCTTTCTATCAGTCTTTCAATACCTGTATGTCAGTCAGTCTGTCTGTTTGGTATCTATATCATCTGTCAGACTGTCTTTATCTATACAAGTGTCTGTCTTATCCATATCTATGCTATCAGTGAGAAAGATATTGACAGTGAGTGAGGAAGGTGGGTACACAAGAGGTACAGTGAGTGAGGAAGGTGGGTACACAAGATGTACAGTGAGTGAGGAAGGTGGGTACACAAGAGGTGCAGTGAGTGAGGAAGGTGGGTACACAAGATGTACAGTGCGTGAGGAAGGTGGGTACACAAGAGGTACAGTGAGTGAGGAAGGTGGGTACACAAGAGGTACAGTGAGTGAGGAAGGTGGGTACACAAGAGGTACAGTGAGTGAGGAAGGTGGGTACACAAGAGGTACAGTGGAGAAGGGACTGTTGGATGTTGCTGGATCAAGTGTTGTGTGGTGCAGGTACGAGTCCACAGCAAGACTGAAGAAACTCAACACTAGTGAGCTGGTCCCTGGACGTGGATGAGTTTCATGCCTGCGATGGCGATCAGTGCTGGAGGGGCGCTTGAAGGCTGCTGTGTTGTGAAATGCGGATGAGTTCTGCTGCCTGGATGACATGATCAATGCTGAGAGTACTGAAGGCTGCTGTGTGTTGTAGTCGCGGATGGTTCTGCTGCCTGCGATATGACTGCGCTGGAGGGAGTGCTACGCTGCTGTTGTGAGTCATGGATGAGTTCGGCTGCCTGGGTGACGTGATCAGTGCTGGAGGGGGTGCTGAAGGCTTGCTGTGTTGTGAGTCATGGATGAGTTCTGCTGTCTGGGTGACATGATCAGTGCTGGAGAGGGTGCTGAAGGCTGCTGTGTTTTGAGTCATAGATGAGTTCTGCTGCCTGGGTGACATGATCAGTGCTGGAGAGGGTGCTGAAGGCTGCTGTGTTGTGAGTCATAGATGAGTTCTGCTGCCTGGGTGACATGATCAGTGCTGGATGGGGTGCTGTTCATTTTCAAAAGATAGAAATGGCTGGAGGAAGTTTAGGGAACTGTTGTCTTTATTGTCAGCACGAGGACTTTCCCATCACATGAAAGGAAGAATGTATACAACTGGTGTGAGAAGTATGGTGTTATATATCCGTGAAACATGGGCAGTTAAAAAGGTTGACACATGCAGTCTTGAGTGAGCTGAAACGAGAATGGTGAGGTGGATGTGTACCTTGACGCTGAAAGATAAGAATCACCGTTCAGAGCTAAGAGGACGGCTGGGTATTGAGAGTATCGGCCAAGATTTACGTATAAGTAGACTGAGATTGGGAGTGGGGAGAGAATGGATGAGACCAGCTGGGTTAAGTGGTGCATGACTCTAAATGTGGTAACGAGGAGAGCCAGTGGTAGGTGGCCAAGAATGACATGGGGAGAGATTGTAAGAAATGATCTTAGAACCTGACAAGACAGACTGCAAGAGATGGTGTGCAAAATGGCTGTATGATTTGGATGGTGATGATGATTTTGTTCTATCTTTCTGTCTAACTTTCAGGCTATCTATCTGTCTGTCTATCTATCTATCTATTCATTCCTCCATCTATCTATCTATCTATCTATCTATCTATCTATCTATCTATCTATCTATCTACCATCTATCTATCTATCTATCTATCTATCTATACTACTGTACTGTATTTCTCACCATATTAAAGGCAACCACAGATATAGCATGAAAGGTTTATAGTCTCAAGAAAGTTCACCTAAACTAAGCTTTTATAAAAGGAACAAATATTTAAATGAGAAAAATTGCAATGTGTTCCATCACCTGTACAGTACAGTTGACCCTCACCAATGTGAGGAATGAATAAAAATAATGATAATAAATAAGAGGAAGGAAAAAATACTGCATGCCATTTGACAACTGTTTCACTAAAGATGTGGGAGACGGGTGTGCTCCCCCCTCGTGGGCTGACTCCTGCCGACGTAATAAAAGTTTATTGTGTGTTTTTTTACCTTTTGATAATAATTTTTTAACTAAATCTAAGAAAGCTTGTGTGTGCATGTAACTGCTAAAAGAGTGAATAAAACTACGTATATCTACCCAAAACTACGAGTCGACAAATAACAACAACATGGCTTGGCCTGGTGTATATGTATACAGTTATATATGATGTAGGGTGAATTATGGAGACATTTGTTAGGTTAAAAATATGTCTTATGTGGTGGGAAATATGGTATATCTCTCTACATCTTTCTGTCCATCTGTCTACAGTATATCTGTCTTATATGTACTGTAGACAGAACTACTGTACTAACCATGATAGACAGTTGACAATGCATGTGATTAATACCTGGAATACAAATATTTGCAGGAAAATGTCCAATATATTCACCAACTAGACCACTTTAGTAATATAGAACCAAGAAAATATTGTTTATTGTTTTATACCAAAACACTGGTGATTGTCTCTCAGATACATCAGGAGTTGGTCTGTACTGTATATCTTTAGTGGTGCATCACTGTGTCCTGGGTTCATTCCCCAGCCTGGGACAGATGTTACCCTCACTACCAAACATGGCAGGTTTTCTGCAGGTACAATACTACAGTTTCCTCCCATACTGTACAGTTTTAACAGACCAACTCCCCAAATGGCTCATTACTGGTAATTACGACGTCACTACGTTAAATTATACAAAGGTGAATCCTAATTTAACGTTGACTCGGCCATAGTGAGCTTTAACATTAATGCCACTGATTAATGAGTCTTGATCTCACACAACTATAAGGCGGCCTTCTCTTGCCACTCCATCTTCCCTCTGGCCTTTATTGTGGAAAAGGCAAGAATTATTATTGTGTGAAGATGTAGTGGATCTCTGAGGTGACAATGATAAATATTTTGGTGTTAAGTCGGTGGTGTGAGTCTTGTACTGTGCAGGTCTGACCCACCTGTTACAAACTACTGCAGGGAGTGAAGACCTTCCTTAAAAGGTTTAACTTGGCATTATTCAGAAGGTCACAACACAGACGTCCTCAACGGCACTTGATGGTTTATTGCAAAGCCATTTTTTTTTACTTACTTTTGACCTTGATGATGTGGTTCAGCCATTATCAGATGCAGGTCAGGAACACTAAGGACTGTTCCTCTATAATGCTCACTGAATAAATGAGGATAGTTGCTTCAAGGCTCCACGGGGCAAGTTGTTACCAGGTTTTATTTACAATTCACAATTATTACATGGAATTATACATTTTCCACAATATATACTGAACTGTATACCTGTGTTGTCTATATACATGGTGAACTGTATACCTGTGTTGTCTATATACATGGTGAACTGTATACCTGTGTTGTCTATATACATGGTGAACTGTATACCTGTGTTGTCTATATACATAGTGAACTGTATACCTGTGTTGTCTATATACATGGTGAACTGTATACCTGTGTTGTCTATATACATGGTGAACTGTATACCTGTGTTGTCTATATACATGGTGAACTGTATACCTGTGTTGTCTATATTGTATTAGCTGAGGTGAGATACCAAACTATCTCACTTGTTAACGAGTGTAGGTTAGTCACTGGTACCTTTGATGCAGCTGAGTGAGATATCTGGTCATCTCACGTCATGTCACCTTTGATGCAGCTGAGTGAGATATATGGTTATCTCATGTCATGTCACCTTTGATGCAGCTGAGTGAGATATATGGTCATCTCATGTCATGTCACCTTTGATGCAGCTGAGTGAGATATCGGGTCATCTCACGTCATGTCACCTTTGATGCAGCTGAGTGAGATATCAGGTCATCTCACGTCATGTCACCTTTGATACAGCTGAGTAAGATATCGGGTCATCCCATGTCATGTCACCTTTGATACAGTCGTTGATAGTTTAAATCGTCACAGCTGTCCTGGGTTGTACTTGTAATTATCTTGGCTTGAAAGTTAAACAAGACACACAGGTACTGTTCTCTTCACTCGTTGTTCCTTGGTTTAATGTAACCACACGTGCTGATTTAATAGTTATATTGGGTAGTAATGTCTGTACAATTATTTTGTATTGACAGACTAATGAGCATTAGCTATTGGCTTGTAATTAGCTGATATACGTATTTAGAGAGAGGTACAGCCCGGAGAGCTGGTCTCACTTTAGGGCATCGTGTCGGGCTGTGAACTGGGCTGAACTCTCTTGAGTCTGGTGACTGGTGGTTGGACGGTAACCACACTTCAACAGGTCATTAACTAAACAGCCTACCACACACTGAGGGTTGAGTCTGTAGTTTAATGGGCTGTACACCCGAGGAGGTGTGACAGAACAAATGTTTATGGGCTGTACATCCTAGGAGGTGTGACAACAAATATTTATGGGCTGTACATCCTAGGAGGTGTGACAGAACAAATGTTTATGGGCTGTACACCCTAGGAGGTGTGACAGAACACATGCTTATTTAGTTGTATGCTCAATAGTCTGGGTGATAGAATATATAAAATGAATATATGTCCTTAGCTCATAATATTTATATAATATAAATGTAACAGAGGCTAATACAATATACTGAACTGTATACCTATACAGTATTGTTTATATACATGGTGAACTGTATACCTGTATTGGCTATATACATGCTGAACTGTATACCTACATTGTCTATATGCAGGTTGAACCAATTGTAAACTTATATGATAAGTTTACATAATAAATATATATCCATCTATCTAAAGTGGTCTAGCGTATGTAAATATTTTGATCTTTTCCCTGATAATGTTGTTTCATCACAGGTGTTACTCTGTTGTAGTGTGAGCCAGTGTGAGGTGGAGGTCAATATTAAACTGAGGTGTTTAGCTGTGGCTCTGGAAGATTGACAATTTGTCTTATTTTAATTATAAACCATGAACACCTTTATTTCTCACTGTTTATCCAGGTATAATTTGGCTAAATTTATCTTAAATTTACCTGGACTTAGAATGCCATCACAATATGATTTGAAATTAAAGAACAAAATTATATCCTTTTGTGTTTTTAAGGACTTTAGAATTAATAAGATTTAGTGAGACTGTTGAACCATTCAGGTACTTTACATATATTTACCATTTAGGTTAAACTAAACCGTAAATACATTTTATTGTTCGTTAAGGAATTCTATCTCATTAGTTCGGTGTCATTTAATGTTGCCGTAAAATCTGTTGAGTGACTTAAGCGGCAGTTATTCTGTTATAGTCATGCCAGTTAATGTTGTTTTAAGAGATACAGTTTATTGTGTAGTGATCTCCGTTTAAACAAACTATTTTTATTGTCCAAATTTATCGCGCTGGGATATGAAGGTGTGCGTGGTGGGAAAGGCTTTGGAATAAGGAATACTGAAGGTGAAAGAACACTTGAGTTTGGGGATGGAATGTAACATGTGTTTAAGAATAGGGCAAGTAGGCTGACCATGTAGGCCTAAGGCAGGTGGCACAGAAACCCAGATTGGCTACATTTTGGTCAGGAAATTAGAACAGGTTGCTTGTGTGTGTGTGTGTGTGTTACTTAAAGATGGAGGGAGAGGAAGAAGGTGGATGTTCCAAGAAGGAGAGTGTGGGAATTGTGAAGGAACTGAATGTAAAGGAAGCATTTTCTTGTGAGTTGAGAGGCTAGGAAGCAGCCAGTGAGGGGCAGTGTACCAAGACGCTGGGCCATAATAAAAAATGTTCCGTTGAGTGTGGTTGATGGCGGGAATGATGAAGTGGAAAGAGAGATAAAAAGTGAAAAGAAGATTGTGTGAGATGTGGAAGATGGTTGGCAACAGAGAGAAGTACAGTACCTGGAGGATAAACTGAGATGGTTCAGGAGAGAAAGGAGGAAACTAACTGTCAAGAGGGGAGTTAGAGGTAGGCAAAGAATGACATGAGGATAGGTTGTAAAGAAATGTCGGTGCTACTATAGTACCTGAGTATGTTTGTTGGTTGGAATGATGAGGAACAATCTGAACAGAAAACAAATGAATACAGTAATTGAACACAAAAAATTTAGGAATTGTCGAGTAATATCCAAATATTCGGAACTCAGTTAATTCGTATTTTCAGTAATTCGAGTGACGCAGAGTCTCTTTTTGTCAAATCAATGAGGGTATAGTGCCGTTTGTGGTCCACCGAATTACTGAAAATACAAATTAATCGAGTTCCGAATATTTTGACATTATTCGACACTTTCTCAATCTTTTTGTTCAATTATTCGTTCGTTTTCTGTTCAGATTGTTCCTCATTATTCCAACCAACAAGCATACTCAGTTACCATGCCTTGACTGCCACACAAAATAATCTTATTTATAATTACTGTACAAACAAATATTTTTTAAGTGCACAAACAGTAATAATAAAGTAAATAATACAGTAATAAATAAATGTAAGACTTACTGTACATTGTGAGGTGAACTGATAATATGTGGATGATATTCAGAAGGTGTAATAGTATTGAGGATCAGGTCTGGGGTCCACTGAAGATTAATCCCCAACCTACCTAACTCAGGAGACTTTTCCTTTGTTCTATGTATTTCTCCCTTGTTTTGTTGTGTTACTTGGCAGAAGAGGGACCTATAGTGTGTTTTATCCCAGCTGAGAAGAGATACGTAATTTGTGTATTATTGTGGGTAAAAATAATTATATATTAAATGCGTCCTCCGAAAGCGTCAATTTGCCACCAGAGTTTAACAGTTAATTCTTGTATAATATTTCTGATAAACTTCCTACATGTTTATGTTTGATATAATTAATGTATGAATCTTTATATAATTTAGCTAAATGTCTTTCTCATCAGAAATGGTCATTATGAATAAACTCATTTAGAAATACATCATTACTTCAGGAGGAAATCGGACAGATTTGCAACAGCCAATCAGGTGTAACTCTTGAGGAGGGGGCGGGGCATCTCTTCTCATCTGATAAAAAATGCACTATAGTCAAATCAGCTCCAAAATTTCATCTTATATTTCTCCAATGAGGGTTTTTACTTCATTTACCAGTGTGGCCGTTACACTTATGGAATATCATCTACGATCTCACCTCTCATTATTTATTACTGTATTATTTACTTTATTATTGTAAGTACATTTTATAACTATTTATATTTGCACAATAATTATAAATATGATATTGTATATGACAGCCAAGGCAACTTTTTGAACCACTCAGTTATTTCATATTCATTCCAAATTCAAATCGTTCAATTAATTTTTTGAGAAACATACGAATTAAACCGAAGTACGAATTACAGCGATCCTATTCAATGAAAGTCCAAAAATTCATTGTTTGCAAATATTCAAAGTCCAAAAATTCATCTTTAAAAATATTCTAAGTCCTAAAATTCATCTTTAAAAATATGCCAAGTCTAAAAATTCATCTTTAAAAATATTCTAAGTCCAAAAATTCATCATTTAAAATATTCTAAGTCCAAAAATTCATCTTTAAAAATATTCTAAGTCCTAAAATTCATCATTTAAAATATTCTAAGTCTAAAAATTCGTTTAAAATATTCTAAGTCCAAAAATTCATCTTTAAAAATCTGCCGAGTCTAAAAATTCATCGTTTAAAATATTCTAAGTCCAAAATTTATTTTAAGTCCAAAAATTCATCGTTTAAAAATATTCTAAGTCCAAAAATGGCCAAAATTATTCCTGGGCATATTTTGAGTAATAAATTTTTGTGTGGTTTTAGAGGTAAAACATTTGTGCCATTCTTACGAGCTCCAGCTTGGCATCTGTGTATTATAAGGCATAACAGACTACCTGGACGTGGGGAGAGTAACTCACTGGGCCCCTACTGAGTTACTCTTCCCACGGCCAGGTAATCCATTATGCTTGTATTTTTTTATATTATTGGTGAATGATAATTTGAAGGCCTTCCTCCGGAGACGCTTCCGATTATCTTTTACCAAATTTTTTCAACGTTAGTCCTGGCAATGGCAAACTCAAAAAACACTTAAGGGTAAAAAAAGGGCAATTTTTTTTGCTCAAATTTTGCAATTTTTAGCCATTTTTTCATAAAAAAAATGCTAATTTTTTCATATTTTTAGCTATTTTTTCATATTTTTAGCTATTTTTTTTCAGGTTTTTAGGTTATTTTAGTTATTTTTTTTATTTTATATATTTTATTTATATATTTTTATTTATATATTTTATTTATATATATTTTTTATTAATATATATTTTATTTTATATTTTTTTATTTAATTATATTTTATTTATTTATATATTTTTTATTTATATATTTTATTTATATATATTTTTTTATATTTTATATTTTTTTATTTATATATACAGTATATATATATATATATTATTTATATATTGTTTATTTTTCAAGTTTATATATATTTTTCATTTGTATATTATATTTGTATATTATGAATTAAGATATTTTTTCAAGTATTACATTAAATTATTTTGCTTCAAAATCTGAAGCTGAACTTAGTCAATTTTCTGTAAAAGTTGAAAATATTGTAAATGCTTGAAAAAGTTAATAAAGACGTAATGACATTTAGACATTTATTAATGGAAACTTAATGGCTCTATAAATTTGCAGGCCAGGGCAGCAAGCACAGAGCAGGTATCTCAGGGCAGCAGAGGGGGAGCTGTAGTCCAGGCAGCAGCATGCATTGCATAGGAGCAGTAGTCCAGGCAGCAGCAGCACACAGGCAGGTGCAGCCTGTGCAGCAGCAAGCACAGAGCAGTCCAGGGGAGCAGCCAGCAAGCACAGAGCAGAGCCGTCCAGGGCAGCAGCACACAGAGCAGAGCTGCCCAGGGCAGCAGCACACACAGAGCAGAGCTGTCTAGGACAGCAGTATGCAGAGCAGTGAGCTGCAAGTGTGCAGTATGCACAGAGCAGAGCCGGGCCAGGCAGTATGTACAGAGCAGGGCCAGGGCAGCAGCAGCATGCACAGAAAGCAGAGCCGCCAGGCAGCAGCCCACACAGAGCAGAGCTGCCCAGCAGTGTTTAAAGCAAGCACAGAGCAGAGCCGTACAGGGAAGTCCAAGGCAGTAACCAGTAATCACAGTCTAGGGCAGCACGGCACTCCAGTGTTCAGAACAACATTTCTATACAAAATAAAATGTAAAATTAATATTCAAATTTTTTAACCATAAAAATGTTTTAAATATAGTAATGACAAAATGAACTGTAGTGTTTTAGACAAAATTCCTTAACACTTGACAGAACCAAATTTATAAACTCAATAGAAAAATAAGAATTTTTGTTAATTTGAATTTTTCACCAAATGAACCTTGAGAACAAGTGTCTAGGGAATATTATCAGTAACTGTACAGCAACTTAACCTAACTGTACAAGTTATGGTTCATATTAACTAAACTATAAAAACCAAAAACCTTTCATTACAAAACTTACCCACAAGTGAGTTTAGTTTAACCATAATAGTTATTGATGCTTAACTACAATATTTCCTGTATCTTTGGTTCATAGTTTTGTTAATATATTTTAAATGTTTTCTCAATGACTTTGACCCAGAAATTATTGATTTGTGATGAATATTTTTACTTTCCACTAACTTTACGTCAATGAATTCCTCGAGTGGGTCAGTCACAGGTCTGGTACAGTATTACAAGTGAATGTTGCTTAGAGTACTTTATTATTTACTAAACATACTCATCTTGTAGGTAACTTTATGTACTTTACTGAATTAAAGTCAAGCATAAACATGACCAATAATTATTTCTGGTGTTATAAATTTGATTTATTAAACGATTGGTTGAGAAGTTATAAGTAGTTACGGCCAGAGTCCAGTTTTGGGGCTTTTAACTTTGGTCAATTGTTATGATATTCCTGTCATCAATAAAGGATCATAGGTACAGTCAGGGTCAAAAGTGTTGAACACTTGGCAATATCTCATCTACTTGAGTTATATGATTGGGATATACTGTACTAATAACAGTACGATCATATTATGCTTGAACCACAAAATAGGATTAAACTATTATTTAATACCAAAGATCTTCGGTACTTACATGCCAAATACGGTCACGTGTTCAGCACTTTTGACCAAGACTGTACATCAATTCTAGCCCCATAATCCCCTTTCAATATTCTCAACCCTTTACACATTTTCTCATATATAAATTTAAGTATAATTTCTCCATTAATTTCTATTTTGTCTTGAAATTTATAGCACCAAGAAATCTATTATGGTCATTGAATATCCCAGAGCAATTTGTTTGCCTTTGGTTTTAAGGATAAACTGGCAGAGAAATTCCAATCCCAGTGTTGGAAAAGTTCATTTTGACACAGGACTATAAAGTAAACTTTACTCCCCTGTAAGTGATCATTCCGAGGCAATTTTATATGTAGTATCTTAATTTTTGTATATTTTAACATCAACTAAACTTGTTATATTCTTTACCTGAGGTAGAGAGGAGGGGTGGAAGGCTGTATCTTGGCACCTGCTTCCTTTAGTTGTGTTGTGAATCACTTGCCATCCTGATATTGGAGGAGAGAAGCCTGGTACAGCAGTACAAGTGAGGCAAGATGTGGTACAGCAGTACAAGTGAGGCAAGATGTGTGGTACAGCAGTACAAGTGAGGCAAGATGTGTGGTACAGCAGTACAAGTGAGGCAAGATGTGTGGTACAGCAGTACAAGTGAGGCAAGATGTGTGGTACAGCAGTACAAGTGAAGCAAGGTGTGTGGTACAGCAGTACAAGTGAGGCAAGGTGTGTGGTACAGCAG